CCTTATCACTCCATCCGGCGGTCTGTTAAACAAATACGATTCCATAACAAATAAAATAAAATGTTTCTCCTTGAACTCTCTGAATTCACAATTTGAATGTCCATTGAACGATAAGAATCTAGGAATTAATCTCTCTTTTTTTCTGAAAACAACTATTATACGTCTTTAGCTCCCTCTTCGAAACTGACAAAAAATTCTTTACAGTTCACTGTAATATACTGTGATATTCCGGAGTGACAAGGACTAACTGTCCAACTAGAAACTGCTAGAACCCGTACGGCAATAATTACAGCCTTCGAATTTCTAGGTTATGTGCGGGCGCGGCGATAAATATGTACGAAAAAGGTAAGCAATAAAAAGTTTACGATCGAAACTTGTTAAAACGGCCTGCACAATTACCCGGCAGGGAGTATAAAGCATCTTTTAACAAGCTATTGCGAAACTGCTCTACCTTTCATATTCAATTAGACACTGTCGAACTCGATCGGTAATTACAGCTTCCATGGGCCCGCGTGTTTACGTTCGCTAGGCGCGGCGGCTTGCTTAATTTTCTTCCCCCTTTGTCTTCCCCTGTTCCTTTTTCTCGCGGCGCGTCGCCGCGGAGAGAGAGAATTCGTGCGGCACGGCGGTCTGGACTGTCGAATTGGAAGGAAAAAATACTAAAGTAATTTTTTCATTCGTCGCAGTACTATTCTCTGTGCACCTTCGTATTCTAGATCGACTGTAATTCAAAAATCAAGCGATCAACCCTTTGAAATCGAGAGGCAACTCCCATTCGACATTTGATGCAGCAAAATTATAAACTTTGATATTTACAGTCAATTGTATACTAAATTGTAAAATATCCTTGCTCCCTAATTTACATGTGATTTCTTGATAAATTAATTTGAGAAAATCTAGTCTACGTCTAGTTGGAAAGTATTGAATATTTCGAGTGAAAAACTATTCGAGTTTTTGAAAATTTAATCGAAACGTTCGATTGGTATGCAATTTTTTATGTGTAACAGTCGTCAATAATTGATTTGACACAGCTTAATTGTAAAGTTTGAGGTTTAATATTCAACTTTGTATAACGTATTAATATGAAATATTGAAAGAAAATAGTTCTTCTTGTCAAATCAATTTTGGAAAATCTCATCTGCTGCTGGTTAGGAAATATTGAGTATTTCCAGTGGAAATTTGTAGAGTGCAAACGGTTAAAGTAACTGTTCCGATTATTTATTCCGTAATAATGTTTATTTGATTCTCCATTTCAAAGGATATTCGAAAGATCGTTTGAATCTGAAAGGCTCAGGAAATTCCGGTGACTGAACATCACTGTCGTCATTGTCGGGATCAACTGACTTGTTGACTTTTACCTTCAATTTCCGACTGTTTTCTTGCTAATTATGTCATTTAGACCACTGTGCCTCGTCGATTGAGACAGTAAATACCTACGTTTCGTGCTACGTACCGGTAACGAACGACAGCGCTGCCTCGAACAGTTCTCAGGGCAGGTCGACGACACATAACAACGGGAGGAAATAATTAACTCGGTGCATTATCATACAGAGAACTCCGTCGACGTTAACCTGCCCGAAAAACATTCTACAGCCGGTGAAGACGATACACGACTTCTCCTTGGGACATGCCCAACTGGCCAGTAATTCAACACCCTTGTTTGTGTTATGAAACACAATCATCTATTTCGTATCAAAACAAAGGAGAAGGTAATTATTCGAGGAATCCGGTTACGCGTATCGCGGGCAATTTAAACACTGAAACATGTTAGAAATACACGCGATACGAATATTCCGTTAATTAACCGAATTCGTTAACCCTTTGCACTCCAGAGGTGCCCCTAAATCACCAAATGATTTCAAACAGCAAAACTGTAAACTTTGATATTTAACGTTAAACTTCGTACAATGCATCGATGTACGAAATATTGAAAGAAAATAGTTCTCTTCCCGAATGCACGTGAGATTTCTCAATCCAAGAAAATGTCATCTGTATCTCATTATAAAATATTGAATATTTCCGGTGGAAAACTTCTGGAGTGCAAAGGGTTAATTTTATCGCAGAGTGATTTTAATTTTCGAAACTTCACGTTCCACGACTATAATTTCCAACGTTCTAGTTTCTAGAGCCTCAGTTTCCAAAGCTTTAGTTTCGAATGCCTTCCAAAATGTTCATTTTCGACCTCTCCACCGACATTCCGGTTCTGAATATTTTAGCCGTTGAAAGTCCTCCTGTGGGTCAGAAAATTCTTTCAACCTCCCACACTCTACTCCGTCGAGCGTTAAATATACGTGAATTTCCAGCAAGACGAAAATAGTAGAAACTGGAATCGTTCCGGAGTATTAGAAAGTGTTTTTTGACAGGTTAGGTTTCGTTTCGCAATGAACTTCGAGAGGGCGACGCGACACTCGGCGGGCACAGGAAGGAATGCCAGTTTCACGTTCTCCGGTGAAATACGGTTTTTAACGTCTATATTCGGTGAATCACCGGACGAGCACGAGATTCCGGGGAAACCTACCTACCGGGATGCTGTCGTGACTCATTTCGCTCGCACCGTCTGCGAGCGGCCGTACGTGTGACACCCCGACGAGAAGTTTCTCAGGAGAGAACCGATCTAGGTCAGCGTGCATCCAATTTCGAGGAAGTTGGTCTCCTGACTCATTTTACTCGTCGATACGAAAACCACTCGAGGAATTCGTTAGAAACACTGCCCATTCATCGCTCGGCGAAGTTTCTTAACGATCGATCGATCGAAGATTACGGAATTACTCGAGGCACGCGTCAAACAGGTTTCCCGGAAATGCACTCGGCATTACGATGCGCGCAATGTGAGTCTTATCTGATTTCAGATCAATTACGGAAGTATTTCTGTTGATCATCAGAAGAGTGATACTTATAGAACATTTATTATAAGATACTATCAACTGAAACTACAGAATTGAATGAAGATTAAAAGGTTACTCCATATTAGAGTAGCTTTAAATTTGTTATTTAATCCTTTGCGGACGGACGTCGGCATTTCGGCGAGATGAAATGTTCAGGTTTGGAATACTGAGTCGTGGAGAAATGATCTAATTAGTCGAACAGTAAGAGATCAGCATGTTGCTCCTTTCTATTAATTAAGCAACTGATATAGAATTTAGCTTCGTATGTTGAAGGTTTTCTATGTTTCGAAGAATCTCCGTCCGCAAAGGGTTAACTTCTATGGTTAAATATAAAATATTCAATTGTAATTCTAAGTGATAATTTTATAAGGAATTACTATTGGCGAGTGTCATTTTCCTATAGGTTTAGGGACACCAAAAGCGTTATACCCCTTGATCTAGAGTATACGAACGCATCGTTCGTGTGTTCGTATCGTAAATAGTTTTATCATACGCGGCGTGATAACTTCACCGCGTTAATATACACGCGCATTTCCACGCATCAGCTATGAAGGCTGATTGTGTACTAGCAACCGGATTGTGTCGGTCGCCGAGCGCAGTCCTGGATCGCGTGTTGTAAAAAAGAGGGTGTTTTTCTGGTGACCGTTTTACGAGTCTTTGCGCCCCACGGTATTGCCGTCGCAATCGTTACGAGTATTAACAAACACAAAATATCTCTATATATTCCCTTAACATCCATTATCGATCGTTCGAAATTCGAATGTACAAAATGAGACCGCTCGTGTGTTAACTTCCGTTTACTCCGTTTCACGCGTGAACACGTGAAGTCTGTTGTTCGATGTTTCTTACAACCGTAGCGACTTCAGTTTACATCGCGAGGACGCTTCTCAAAGGTGTACGGCGCGATAAAAGCAGGATGAACACTGTATAAACAAACCGCTTGCCTGAATTAAATAGATAAAAAGCGTGTACGTGAGCGTTCACCCCCTATCGACCGGCTGGATAAAAGAATTCAAAAGAAACGATGTGGAAGATGGAAATCCCCGGACGTATCACTGCACTGCGGGTGTATATATAGAAGAAGGAAGGGTTGATGGATTCAGAGCGGAAGAATCCTCGCATACCATCGGACGCCCACCGCGGCGATCGAGCTCCTTTGAGAAATTATTAATGACATTTACACGCATAACGCGTGCCTGGTTTGACATTAAGCGTTACTCGAGCAATTACGTTGAAGTTTATCGCGTGCCCGATAGCCACCAGATGTCGCAATGCAAATTCAAGCGGCCGGGATGTGTGGACGAATTGTTTATTGTTCCCCGACGAGAAATACTTCGCGCAACGCTACACACACCGGAGAGAGTTTTTCCCAGGGAAAGCGTATCTATCGTCTAAAAATGTTTCCATCTGCCCTTAACCTGATTCTCCGAGTGAAAAGTAACAGTTTCTAGGAACAGCGCGACTGGATAATTTTCCCGTAGACTTCACACAGGAAAACACGTATGTCCGATGCAGCACGCGAAAGCAAGATTACAGTGGAATCGATCGATCGACACCATCGAACGAACCTGTTAAAAGCCACCACGAACTTGACATCGAGCTCACGCAAGCTCTGGCTTATCCCCCGGAACAATCGGTCAATGCTACTACGCCCAGACTGACAAGCTTTCTTTCGAAACCTGACAAAAATTCGAACCTCCGCAACTTCCGTACACCTCGCACATATTCCGTCGGCCATCCACGAGAGAATCGAATATCTACCCGAACCTAAATGTTGCCCGTTATTCCGTGAAAAGGAACTAAAGAAAAAATCATCGAGCAACGTCGCTATTGTATTACGATACGAAAGTCCGCGTTCCCTAAAGCTGCAATAACAATAATTACAAAGCGTCCCGTCGGTTAGCCCTATTATTATATCCACTATTATATGTCCAGTCGCACCACCCACCGTACACCATAGGTGCACCGTGGTCATTACGTGCACGTACCCTTCCCGTCTCCCCCGAGTCGCCAGTAATTCCTTTCGTGTCCTGTCCCCGATTGTTTCGAAAAATCGCGAGAAACGCCGGCGCACGCGGGGTCAGGCGTACGCCTGAAAAACGGTTAGGAACTTACCCTGCGTGAAGTGCTTAGCAACCATGATGTGCGTGGCACACGGCTCAGAACATTATTCTCCACCCCCTCGAACGAGGCTGCTGCAGGGTAACGATATATCCGGCCAGGGGAACCTTCACTGTTCACGCACGGGATTCTCGGGCGCGTCGACGGACTCTGCTCCCCGTGAAAATCACATGTTCGCGAACTGTCCACCGTTTGTTCGCGTACCGGGGTGTACATGCAATTCTGTACTGTGTGCCGATTCCGAGACGCGACTAAGGGACACGAGGGAGGACGCACATGCTCGACAGTTGCCACCCGACTGATGCTCTGCCACAGCTTCGCTTTTCAAATGAACTAACCCTGACCGGCCGCGCCACCATGTTGCCTAGCGGCCTCCCCTCCTAGCGTGCTGTTCTACCGATAGAACCGAACGGAACTATCTTACCGATCCAGTTGTTCGCGGACAGTGTTTGTCGGTGGCGAACCGCGCGGCAGCACTAGCCAAATCTACGAATGGATGACGGACGCAACGATATCTATTGGAAATTTCAGATTGACGATCCTTTTGGAAATTATATTCCCTTGTGTTTGGTACGTTTATACGAATTTTCGATTGACGTCTTACGCGTAATTTCAGCGTAAGATAATGGAAATGGGGAATTTGTTTTTTCGAATTTCACGATCTATCGGGATGCAATGGTATGTGTGCTAAAATTAGATATGTTGCACTTTGGTTGCATAAAGTTTCAGAGGAAATGATATCTCTGTCGAACGCGGAGATTGAAGATATCGAGGTTTTCAGAACGATGCCGACCCTCTTGAATAATAGTGTTTACGCAGATGTAGAATACGTAGATAAGATCGTCGCTCTATAGCGTTGTTCTCGATTTATCCATATGTTTTTTTGTCCACGGCAAACGTGACCGCTCGCCTGAATAACAATAAACACGGGTAACGCTAGTATGGCGAGTGACGATCGCGCTACCGTATTTGGCTCCACGGGAAGTCTCTCTGCCTAAACAGAATCAAAGTTTGACACGTTTTTCTCCGACGGCGGTCTTGCGCTATAGGTGCCACGTTACGTCAGAGTCCAATCGACTATGAATCATTATGCACCGAGCATATCGTATAACTTGGCTTTTCAAGGCTCTCGTTTTATGACCGCCCGTGCTCCTCGATATCGAGTGCGGGTTTTGTAATTACCGCAGCAGAATTTAATTAGCGACTTGTCACGAGGGCTGCCTTAATTATAATAGTCTCTGACATCCGACGAAACGTTCTATAAATTAAAATTCCCGCGGGAAACATAAATCTGCAACACGCATAGCCCCCGGACGCTGGGGCTGTCGAACGATTGAAAATAATTATTCACGATTTCTAGAAATTGGGAAAGTGGATTTCTTCAGATTCAAATCGCTGCTTATTCCTTCTCGCCGCCATCGAACAAAAGAAGCGTCTTCGTAACTTCATTAAACGCGAAATACAAATTCTCGAGAGAACGACTCCGACTCGTTCAGAGATTCTATCGTTGAAATCTAAATTTTCTTGTCTTCTTCGAAATCTAGACCTCGAATGAACGCGCTCGTTACGTCGACGCTAACCGTACCGGCGTTTTTCCTATCGCAACTAGTCAAATAAAATAGAGATAAAGAAATTAGACGATAAACCGTCCTTAGTGGGAACAGACAGAAAAGGAAGGACGAAGATTGCGAACCGATTAATCGGACAATATAGGAGTAGATATAAACATAATTGAAACGACCTGAATGAACTGAAATGAACAAGAGAACACGCAGAAATCCGGTTACTTGACCGGTTCCCGGTCACGATTAGTGTTAACTCACACGCATGCTTCCCCGAAATGAATAGCCGATATTCAAATGACACCGTTGTGCCGAGTGTCCGGCGCGATTTAACGAGCATGTATTCTCAGAATACTCTGTTTCATTAACCTTAGCCGGGACTGGTTTGTTTACGGGTTTGGCGAAAAGTATCAATGGTCACCCACGTAAATCCGCATCAGAAGAGCAACAGGCACCGGATTTAGCTTAGGCGGCGAATAGAGTCGCGCCAGGAAGGGGAGCCAAGCGGCGTTTGTGCCGTTGGCCGCGGACCTTGCCGGCTCAACACAAGACAAATTACGCGCAGGCTCGCGCGGCGGAGTTGCTGGACCCGTTTCTGGCAGGTAGCTAAATCGTCGCAGGTCAACAGACAGGACGTGCATATTTAATGCAATGTGTCTCGGAGCGCGCTGGCTTTCCTTCTTCGACGAGGTCGTGCCAAAAACTTGAAAACGGTCCGTTGACCTGCGCGCGGTGTACGTCAGCGCCGTTGACGACGACGAGCATAGCGCCGTCTATGACATTATTTTCTATTTACGAAGGTGGGCAGGTAGCCACGGTGTATCCGTACACTCTTGTCCTGGATCCGTGCCCACCGATGATGCGTAATCTCCAGCTGGATAACAAAACGACACGAATTCCCCGTACGACGTTACGCTCTGCAGAAACCGCAAAGCGTTTGATTTAGCTCAGTCGGTTTGCTGCGTGGGTGGCTCGCCATCTCTCTGGTTCACTCTCCGCCACTGCTTTACCACCAACCGATCCTGTGGTGACGTCACATTCCGTAGAAGGGGAGTATAAAACCTGTTCGACCGTCCCTTTCTTTTTTTCGCCGCTTCCGCGACCGATCGCTTCTATCCTAGCTCGTTGCTATTCCGTTTAACAGCGAGTCGAATATTATTTCCAATGGTAAACAATGAAAGATTCCGTGTCGCCATGCGATCGTGTCGTTTTCAAAACGTCCGATCCACCGCGAGCGCTCTCGGAAATCGTCGATTCGCGATCGGAAGCTTCTTTGGGATCAACTCGAAATACGTTTGTTTCAGATTTTGCGACCACTCGGAGCTGCCTAACCTAAGAAACTCTACGGCAATGCAGTTTTCGACATCCGAACGAACGTACCGCGGTCAACTGTAACGGTTTCCCGTCTTACACCATTATGTTTCACCTAAAGCGAACCTTTGTCGAGGAACATTTGAAATATTCCTACGCTGAAAATTCGAATAGTCCACGGTTCTGCTTTGGGTTATCGAGACAAAGAGAATCTAAGCTCCTCCGCCTCTGTGAAATATTATTTCACCCGAACCGTGCGGCGTCTAGCGTTACACCGATTTTTTCTCGAAATTTTACCCAGCTCTGATTCCATCTCCTTTCTCCGGGCTAGCTTCTTTCCGCTCGCCAGCAACGGCGGCGGCGGCGGCGGCGGCGGCGGTGGCGGCGGCGAGCGTTTTTTCTTTTCCCGTCCGCGCGTTTTCTGCTCGCCGCGCGCGCCGCGCCGTCACGAGCAACGAGCAAATGTGCTGATCACTTGAAATTAGGGATCCGCGCGCGTACGCGCATGCGCGGACACGCAATTTTTTGTCTCGGACGGCGGCTCGCCAGCAGTCGTCCGTCTGTCGAGAGCGTGTTAAGGACGATGTTGGCCGTCGTGCGTGAGCCGCGACGACGACGACGTTTCGTAGCACGTCGGGGCACGTCGACGATGTCCTGTAGCGTCGCGACGAGCCTGGTTTCCGCGTAACGCGAGCCGAAAATCGACGGGACGAGAAGTTCAGTGAGAAAAGCATAACACGGTGCACCGTGGCCTGACCAGTCCATGCGCTCCTCGTAGCCATGGCTTCGGTGAAGGTAGCCGTAAGGGTTCGTCCCTTTAACAAAAGGTGTGTGCCAACGTATCAGTGCGAATACACGACGTTCCGTCTAGCCGCGACGTTTCGAACCGTTCGATAAAAGACGAGGAGGGTTAGTTTCTCGAGCGTGCCTCGGAATGATTGCGCTCGGCCGAGGAGGTCTCTCTGTCAAACGAAAAATTCCCTATCGCAGTGTCACCCGTCGATCGTTTCCCGTTGAAAATCCATCGAGGTCGCGATCACCCGCGAGTGTGCGGGCAAATGTTGAATTCGGTTGGACGATCAATTGTACGCGTTGGAGAATCGACCGTAGTGCGACGTGACGACCGTGCGACGAGATTCTACCACCTGCTGTCATTCGTCCTCGCGTTTAAAGCGTTTCCCCTTGTCCGTTTGTACACCGTTCCGCCCTCGACGTTGCCTCGCCGCGATGTGTCGCGAACGGGGAACCGAACGTCGCCGACGACCAGGTGTGCACGGGTCGTACGTGCGTGAATTCCTATTACGATTTTTCTTTCAGGGAGCTGGCGATGAACGCGAAGATGATCGTGCAAATGGACGGCAAGAAAACACGAATCTTCAACACCAAGGTACTGTTTGCAACCGTTCGGTGGCGATCGTCTCAGGCGTTGCACAAAACCGTTGCTTATTAAGGTTAAACGCTTCCTTTGTAACGCGTAGAACCTGCACGGTCCGCGACCGACCGGCTCCTGCCAATCCCCTTGCCTCGTCCTTAATGATCACGAACGGACGGAACTTTCTAAAAAGATTTCTATCCGCGCCGGAGTGCGATTTTTTCCTTTTTTTTCGTTCGCCTCCGTTCGTTTTTGTTTCGTTGTTGTTCGCCCTAAATTGCCATTGACCGCCGGGACCGACGCGCCGAAACTGTGTCACGAATTGCAAAGTCGGCTATTGACCGTTCCGAGTGTCATCGGTGCGCTGCCGGACACGGCCGCCCGCCCGCCCGCCCGCCCGCGCGACGCAGCATCTTCCCGACACAGCTGAGATTATTTGTTGTTCACCCGTTACGTCATTGATATACACGCTTGTCAAGCGAGAAATCTCTGACCGAGATCTCTCCGGACGGTCGAGATAGCGAACGGGCGGGCGCACCGTCATCTGATCGGAGAAAGTGCGAAAATCGTTTCTGGACCAATCCCGGCCCGGTCGCTTTCCGTTGCGCCGCGCTGACCAATCGCGCCGCGGCCGAACGCACGTTTCCCGTGCGAATAGAAACATAGGGACACGGTGTGCTGTGCTGTGCTCTGTGCTAACGGGCCGGGCATGGTCTGCTGGGTTATAACAGAAAAAGAGAAATGCTTTAACACCTACTGGTCAATTCGAACACATAACCCCGATGGAAATTCTCTTCTATTTGGTTCACCGCTAACTGAGTCACCTTTCCCCGTTCTAGAGTGACTCAACGATATAATAAGAAATCGCTGTTTCTACGCGTTACACTCGTTCTGTTCGCCTTAGAATCGATACGCAAAAATTCAAACTGGATGCTGCACGGTCGCATCCGCCTGCAGAGTAATCGCCGGCATGGTAATTAACTCGGGACTAATTTCCCGTTTCATTGGCACGAGCAAACGGGTTTCAGCGGGTCTAGCATGATTCATGGATCCTTGTCCCAGGGAGAAAAAAATATTCGCGTGTAAGAGAGTATACGCGTTTTAAGTGTCCCGGATGTTCGGTCATTGATGTTGCGTCATTGTATGGGTAGAATGTCAATGGCGGTAGGATTATTCTCCGTTGATGGTGTTTTATTCGGCGGTCTTGTTGGTTCATGGAAATTCGCTTTACATATTCCAACGGTTTCAGTTTTTTCTTATCATTGATGAATGGTTCGGCTCTAACTGTTCTGTCGCACGAAGTGTCAGAGCGTGGTGTATGTATTTCTTCCATGCTTTCACAATTAACATTCTGACTTGATAATGACGCAATATCTGAGTCAATGTACGCGGATAACCTTTTGTCACTTACAAGTCGAATTTTTTGCTCCTCTTGTAAGACGTCGTTGCCCAAATCTGCTCTCGAGGCTTCCGCTTTCGCCGTGTTACCTTGAAATGCTTGGAATTATCAGTGTCCGTATTAATGCAATCTGAATGTATTATTAACGTAGAACTATAAATAATCAAATATTCAAATTATTAATCATTTCCATGCGAGTGTGTTGTTTTCGTCCAAAACAGCATAAAATCAATAGTCGTGCTTCCATGCTGTTCCTTGTATAAAAGTACCATACAAGCACTGAGCATATCTCTGACCCACTAAATCAAATTCAAAATACCAGGAAACTTAGGTATTTTCATTCCTCCAATTTCGTGTTTAATCCCTTGCCTTATAACATCAAGTGAATACGTGACCTAAGATCTCGACGCAATATCAATGACTACAAATATTCCTTAGTTAATACAAATTCAAGGCTAATACTACTTTAAGATCGCTTAACTTCCTCGACAAACACATCATACGTATCTGTATCGTTGTTTCGCTAAAAAATCATTCGCGATACAATAATTGTCACAGGTACCGATGAGCAGAATATAAATTAGAGAACGATACCCAAGAGTTTAAGAATGCCGCTACTTCGTCTTCAACTGACTAAGATCCTGAATAGTAGAAACGAATTTCCACTTGACTGTTGCTTCTCCAGATCGCTCCGTCGAATTTCCGTTCCGCGGAGAGGCTCGCCGTCTGGAAACAAGTCGGAAAACGGTGGGTTAAAGAAAGCAAGCGGAGACAAAGGCGCGACCACCGAACGGCCGGCGGCCGTTTCGCGGAATTAAGTACCATGACTCGAGCACGTAGCAACGTTCCATTGAGAACCTCGAATTTCTTGCTGCATTGAGCACACCGAGCGTGCTGCGTGGCTCTCGAACGATAATGATCCTCGCTCACCTTAGCTCTCTCGTTGCTGGTTGCATGATGGGCAAACATAAGGAGTTTTACTTTTTAATTGGCCGTTCGCTTTGTTGCGTAATAACGCCGGCCTGGCTCTCGATACCGGGCGATTAGTTATGTGGGATGCAGCCTAACGTATGCACGTGACATAACGGCCTGCGATTCGCCGACAGGCACTCGCGCGAGCGATGCGCGCTCCCTTCACGTCAGCGGAGCGGCTGCTGACCGGTATCAATCACACTGAAACGTTTGCTTCGCCTAAATGGCCGGGAATACCTCTTTGAATGTCAGTGGAAATGTTCGGACGTACTGGAAAAATTCTAGATGATTTTACAGGGAAGTCATGGTCGCAGAAAAATTGTATACTTCGAGCAATTTTCAGTTGGAGACGATACAATTTTTTGGCAGTATTAACCCTTTGCACTCGAGAATATTTTTCTCGACAAATATTCATTATTTCCTGATAAGATATCAATGATACTTTTTACAACTGACATGAAGAAATACTTAAATACATAAATAATATTTCGATGTTCCACGTGTTACACTATATCAAATTTAATATTGAATCTGAAATTTTATCATTTCATTGAGTCGAATCCAGTGGCGACTGAGAGGCGCTTCTCGAGGCCAAAGGGTTAATTGCGCTTGACATGAAGTTGAAGGAATTATGCAACGAACAAATTAAACTCCGTTTATATGGACTTTATTCGATTGTATTACGACGACTTCTGGTTTCATGAACTTGGAAATTGTTTGAGGGAACCGTGAAGCGTGAAAGAGGAATTTATTTATTTAAGTAATAAAGATAAAATATTTCTCATTGTTCTTAGTGTAGCGAATAAAGCGTTATAATCGGACACTCAATAGTTCAGATGTGGTTCCCTTAATCTTAATACTTCTCAAAGTGGAGACAGATAAATGGAGTTCTATTGTATGGCGACAGATACACCACCCCTTGGCGAAAACTGTCATATTAGTTGCCCGTTTATCAGGAAAATATCTTCGTTAACCACGTAGAAAATATTAAACTGAGTTCGATAAATATAAATACAATATTATCCGTATTTATTTGTTATCGATAGTTAACCTTTACATTGAAGATTATTCAATGCGAAAAGGATCATAAGGCAAGGGGTTAATGGTACCGACGAGTGCAATGATAACAGTAGTTGTCAAGCATAAATCAAACATTAATAGACGAAATTAATACGCTTCCTTTTCAAACGTATGAAAACACGAACACCGAGTCCAGTGACAATTTGCCTCGTTACCGAAGATATTAATTCTCCGCTATATATAATTTTTTAATCATTGAATTCGAGAAGCCAATGCCCCACATAAATGTTTCAAGTATTGGCGTCAAGCTTTTGCCCTATTATTTTCCAGACACCGGGTAGCTGCAGGGAAATCGACAGGGAGAAGTACAAAGACTTCACGTTCGATCACTCCTATTGGTCCTTCGACGCGAACGACGACAACTACGCGTCACAGGAAGAGGTGCATACAATTGCTTCGTTTCGATGCGTTAATAAGTTCTTTCTCGATCAAAGAAACTTATTAAACAACCGTCACGTGTGTACAACCGTTAAGCTCACGGGTGTTGTCAGACCATCGACCTTTTCAAAAATAAATGAAAACTTCTGCACGCCGAAATCAGAAATAAACGATCGCGACGGATAGATCGATCGGCTACCAAGATCCTATTCGGCAATGTTTTGACGATGAGCCACGATCTGAATTAAAATAGAAGACCGTGCGTGCGTGCACTCCGTGTGTAGCGGCCATTGTCGTAAGAACGGATTCGAAGGAACGTATTGAAAGGTTCTTCGGCATTTTCGAGATTCTTATCGCCGTGTAAGCAACAACATCGTAGAATTCTCGAGACGCCTGGGAAACCAATGCCGCGAAGAAAGTAAATTATGCTTATCATCTGTTCACCTGTAATTAACACGTCACGTGCCGAGCAGTTCTTACCGCTAGATTTAAAGAACCCGTTAGTTCGACGGATATTAAATTTCACACATTATTCGCTAGTCAGTTTTCGATCGGTGCAACTGCATGTAGATACGTAACCTGATTCTCTAATTTCAAATTTTTCCACGAACAGTGAAACGAAGTGTATAACTGATAATACGAAGTTTGGTAAATATGTGAAATTTGTATACCTATAGTTCATCTTTGAGCTAGAAATTGATTCATTAGTGGAGTAAATACTGAGACTATAAAGTGCATATAACAAAAAAGTAATTCTGTATAGTGTAGAAGAGTAATGAGAATAATTGTTTTAATTTGATTAGAAAATAAAGTTTAATAAAGTACAGTGTTTAGGCATGTGCGGCACGAAACGTGTTAAATACCGCGCCGGGAACAGGCTCGCAAAGAGCATTGTATTTTTATCAACCGTGTAATTAACCTTTCCCTGGCTGATTGCGCGCAATCATAATCGTCGGCGATTCGTTGAAATTCTCGCGGACGTGTAAGTACACCGAATAATTCTTGCCGCTCGGTTGATGAACTTGGCCTGTCGCGAGCGGCAAGAATCATTTAACAGTAACGTCCCATCATTAAATACTGGGACCACCAAACGTGTCGAAACGACCCATCCGAGGCCGTTAACGTTACAATGACTTATTTCAATTAACATAAAGATGCGTCCGCGAGGAACAGTGAAACAAATTCATACAACCGCTCGAAGATTCAGTGTAAGACTCGGTACAAGTTGCTCGGCAGTTCTAGCGTAGAAATTGCTCCGCCAATGAGCGCAGTTAAGCGTATGCAAGGCGTGTCTGACACCATCCGTGAAGATAGAGACGATAAGAGACACTTTTTCTTCTTACGTATCCTCTAGGATTTTGCAGTGGAAGCCTCGATTATCCGAACCTATCGCGAACAAAATAATTGGTAAAATTGAATCGTTCGAATAATTAAAACTGTACGAACTTATCTGGTTTATATTACCTAAATTCATAATTGCACTTTAAAAGAGTATTTTTCAGTAAGAACATAGCTGTTGTATACATGCATATTGTTATATACATGTGCACGGTTTTAAACAAATGAAAAGATAACTGTGAAATTAGGTCTCACTTCGAAGAATCGACGGGGATAGCTGCGATGCTACACTGGTTCGGATAATTGACGCTCTACTGTATTTCAGTGTACCGAAGTAGGATCGCTGATCGTTCTTCTCTTTGTTTAGGTCTTCTATGATCTTGGTACGGACGTAATAGAAAGTGCCTTCGAGGGCTACAATGCCTGCGTCTTTGCCTACGGCCAGACAGGGTCTGGGAAGACCTTTACGATGATGGGCACACCGGTAATACTCGAATCGTTTCCCCGTTTCGCATCGAACCAGCTGGTTCATCATCATTTCCAAAACGTTGTGCTTTGCTGAGCTCGAAATAATTAGAAGGTCGAAACGCTGAAATTAGTTCTCGGCGGTTCAATGCTTCTAGCGGTTTCAATTGTACGCTGGCAGAAAGGTGCATTTGGTGCATTCCGATTGGCGACCGTGAGATATTTTGAATAAAATGAAATTGTTGAAGTAGACATTTCACGAGACGATGCATTCAACGTTTCGCGATAGAAAGTCTTCCAATGAAATATGAAATATGAAATATAATATACGAATCGAAGGATAGACTTGTTTTATTTCAAAATTTGATATTCGGTATTGAATCTTCCAATTTCACTATATGAAAGCAAATGAAACTCGACGAACTACTCGAGCGCATAGGGTTGAGCAGAGATCTTATTGCTTCCTGTACGCTTTCTTTCGAAAGTGCCGTGTTCAAAATAACGACGTTGAATAATATATTGTTCGGTTAAATCATTTATTGGAGTCGCGAGTAGCCGCGGTAATTGATGTCGGGAATTTGTCGAGTACAGCCAGCGGACTGGAGGAAAGACGGGGAATGTATGATTTAACGTGGACTGTAAAACGCGTTCCATGAAAAATAAATGTAAAAAAGTGAAACGGTTCTCATTTGTGACTCAACCCATTAAAATAAGTAGAGCATCACCGACTGAAATAACATTGTCGAAGAGCGTTTGCGTCTCGGTACTTTAATAGTTCCACGTCCGATGGATGTGTTTAGCAAAAAAATACTTGTATTACCCAATTGATATCTCTTTCGCGCCTTTTAATGCCCACTTTGCACACCATAATTATCTAGAAACTCGATCGAACATTATTTTTCAGCAGTTACATCTACGCGGTACTAAAAACTTAATAAACGGTTCATTTCGATAAACCGAGACTGGAAACACGATCGCCTAATTATCTCGAGCACCGCATATGCACCATATATCTCTGCAGGGAGCCAACTTGATGAATGAAAAACACGGTTTCTGTAATTTCAATAATACCCGTCGTCCCTTTTGCCCTTTGCCGAAGATGGAATCACCGAATGAGACAATCATTGATCGAGGTCATTCGATTATCATATTATCATGGTTGAACGCGCATCTCGCGATTGATCACGTTTACTTTTCACGGCTAGGAGGAACGGACCGCAAAGATTTATTGTACAATTGTGAAACATACTGTCGGATCGCGACTTTCACTCGACCGGGGATTTCTACGAGTTTTCCGCGTGCGAGCTCGTCCGTCATTCGCAATATGCGTGCATATATGCAGTAGCGGCCGCAGAAATTGCGCTACTTCGAAAATACCTATATTATTGGCTTCACTCTCACGCGACTAATAACAATCTACATTATCTAAACCTCTCTTCATTACAATCGTGTACAATCGTGCAATTTCATTGGTCACTACTAAGTGCAGAGTGACTCGTAGATCCGCGTCTAAAATTTATACGATAAATCGACAGACGAAGTAGAAAAGTCTAACAAATCTATATCCTACATCTCCTACCTTTCCAATTACAGGTTTTCACAGAAACCATTCGTTCGACTCACATAAACGAACATTGAATAACACGATGTATCGCAGCGTGAAGTGTGAAATTTCCTTCGATAACCTACAACTAGAAACCTAAAGTAAACATGTCCGTAAGACCTTTCCCGCTCAAGTTCACGCGTAGATTCACCCGAAGCATGGACAGGCATTTATGAATCACCCTCCCCGTACGTGTATTTCCTTTTTCAACCGGTATCTGTTTTTTGTTCGCATCGCGTGCACGCAGGAGGCTCAGGGACTGATACCGCGGATCTGCAAGACGCTGTTCGCAAGAATGGCCGCTGGTAAAGAGAGCGGAGCGTCGTATAGAACCGAGGTGTCGTTCCTGGAGATACACAATGAGAGAGTGAAAGACTTGCTGCGACTGGACCAGTCACAGTCCCATTCTCTCAGGGTGCGGGAGCATCCGAAAAGGGGGCCTTATGTCCAAGACCTGTCCAGCCACCTCGTGTACGATTATTCAGACATTCAGGTAAACAGACCCCTTCAGCGCCCACGCCATCCGCCGGCGGCCGACAGGACATTTGTAACAGGTCCTCCTCCTCTGTTTCGGTCCGCAGGAATGCATGGTGAGAGGCAACACGCACAGAACCACGGCCAGCACAAACATGAACGACGTGAGCAGCAGGAGTCACGCGATTTTTACAATAACGTTCGTGCAAGCCGGACTCTCCGAAGGCAACATGCCCTCGGAGACCGTTTCCAAGGTGCATCTCGTCGACTTGGCCGGAAGGTAGCCGAGACACGCATCTCAAGACAATCCTTGCTTCGTCTTATCCTCATGAAACACCAATGGAACAGTAGAAAATCCTGCCGCATCTAGAATCCCTCTTAACCCCTTGACGTGTCCATTTACTTTCGTGTACCATTTTACTATCCACAATTCAGAGAGCAAGGAATTTTCTGTTCTAGTCTCAGTGGAAGTATCGTTTGAAGATAATACATTGATAATAGCAAAATAGTTTGCTTTGATCCGCGGGGAATGGCAACATTAAGTTTTGTTTAATCTAGAAATCTTCGCGAGTCTCACTCGTCATTGTACAAGGGGTTGACACTAGGTTCACGGAACTCATCGATTTAATGAGTATTAAATTATGTAAATGTTACTTGATAAACGTTAGTTTCGATCGATGCAACTACACGTATCCTAGTAGTCTTAAACAAACGAACATCGATGTTTCTAGGAACAATAGCATGAAGTACTCGATAAACGTGTACACCTAGTGTCAAACAAGAAATTGATATCGTAGCTCGTAACTTGATTTCACTTAGCTGACAGAAATATACAGTTTTTCTTTTAACTTGAAAGTGAAAGAGGGATTTGCTATGGCGGGACAGACCCTAGTTGAGACGTTAGGTCAATGCTTGTAGGAAGTTCCATTCTAGATAAATTGTTCCTTTGTGTAGAATTACCCAGTTAATCTCTTAAGCCTACCTTCCCCTACTTTCTTTGTTCAGCGAACGTGCAAACGCAACGGGAGCAACAGGTCAGCGACTGAAAGAGGGTGCCCACATTAACAAGTCCCTAGTGACTTTAGGTTCTGTGATATCGGCGCTCGCGGAGCTGAGTTCCTCGAACGACGTGTCCTCGTCCTCGAAGCGAAGCGTCTTCATACCTTACCGGGACAGTGTGCTCACATGGTTGCTAAAGGACTCGCTCGGAGGTAACTCTAAGACTATCATGATCGCAGCCATTAGTCCGGCGGATTGTAACTATGGCGAGACGCTCAGTACGCTCAGGTACGCGAACCGAGCGAAGAATATCATCAACAAGCCGACCATCAACGAGGATCCGAACGTGAAATTGATCAGAGAGCTCAGGGAGGAAATCCAGAAGTTGAAGTCCCTTATCGGGAAAGATATGGCAAGTACAAGAAAACACAGGCGCATGAAACTTGCCGGTGATTCCCTCGTTCGAAGGGAACACTGGCGTTTTTCTAGTGCAATTTATCTTGCAACTCGGTTGCTATGCGCGCGACTTGAACGGTGGTTAAATCGACCATACGTTGTGAATCATTGATAAGCATTGTAGATATTGTCCCTGACAACGTATCGATATACTTTGAAGTATCAGGGACAGTATCCTGCAGACGTTCGCGGGTTTTCATTAATTCGAGAAAGATTCCCACGCGATGAAAGAAGTTTGTTTACCATCCTTAATCTTGTAGAGTATCGAAAGGCCGCCGCAAGTGTTACTGGCACAAATTCATGAGAAACAAGAGCAGGAGAAAGTGTTGACAGAAGAATGGACGGAAAAGTGGCGGGAGACGCAGCAGATTCTCCAGGAACAGAAAGCCTTGGGTCTCCGCAAGAGTGGCGTTGGGGTAGTTCTCGACTCGGAAATGCCGCACTTGGTCGGGATCGATGACGATCTTCTCAGTACTGGTGTCACCCTTTATCACCTGAAAGAGGGTAGAACGTTAGTGGGAACGGAGGAAGCGCCGACTGCGCAGGTAACATTCCTATCTACATTACAATAACTTTCTTTGAGACACGTGAAGCGGTGGAACACCGTAACGTAAAGTCAACCTGAAAGTTTAGTTTGTTCCATTTGGAAACAATGAACACTTCAACCCCTTGCCTTATGATTGAATTTCGTGGATTTGTTAGAACTATTTATCGTTGATAATATTAGTAAAAGAAACCATTCCATGCTCTTTCTATAATTTCGTTTGAATTGCTAATGAGAACAACGATGTTTCATTTAAACTTAACACAACTCAACGACGTTTATGTTTGTTAAACCATATTAGAAATATTCGCCTCGTGTTTGGCACGATATTGTAAAGCAAGGGGTTAAACGAAAAATATTCAAACAGAATAACTAACGTTCAGAATGAATCAAACTAAACCAGTCTTTGGACATCTTTGAGAGGTGCAAGATTTCTCGGCTAACATAATTATATGAATCATATAAATATAATAACCGAGTTATTCAAATATAACGCGCGACTCGATGAACAGGATATCGTATTGACCGGCGTGGACGTTGAGCCAGAACACTGTGTGGTGGAATTAGATAACGGCGTAGCAACCCTTCACCCCCTTTCTCCCCACTGTTGGATCAACACCGCCCAAGTGGATAAACCGACGCGGCTGTCGCAAGGCTGTATCATTCTTCTGGGCAGGAACAATATGTTCCGATATAACGATCCGGCGGAGGCGGCGAAGCTGAGAAAGGAAGGCGGAACGGGTAACGGTAACTTACAGTCCACGGTCGTCAATCTCTCAAGATTGTCGCTGTTGAGCTGGAGCGTCTCGGATTTGCATGCCTCCTCCTCTAGCGATAATCTGTTGAACTCGAGCGAGGATCTCCGCGCACTCGAGGAACTAGAACAACAGAAGGCTGCCCTTATCAAGGAAAAGGAGGACTTCAAGGTTCGTTGATCACCGGATACACGAGTATTCATAATAGAGAGGAGATCATAGATACGTCCAAGCTTAAAGCAATAGCAGCTTAACTTAGAACACCATAACTCCAGACAACTATGTCCTAACCGTATATCCAAATATTAGAGCTATCAAGCTGATCGAATTTCTCATATCTCAAGAAACGTTTCAAGTTGTATAGAATGTAAACTACACTTCAGTTACTAGATAGTCCTACTATTAAATGCAAGTATAATATCCTAAGTAGAACTTCGTCTATTTCAAAGGAGAACTTTTATAACAGGCACAATCCTTGTGAAACTAATTGTTACTCGAGAATAACGTTTCTTACGTTGAAGATATTTCTATAATAATAGACAGCTCATAAGATAATTGTTTGGAAAGGTAAAAACGGCAGAACCAGTATGTTATCTAACGACGTTTCCACGTATCGCGCAGAGGGAGCAGGAGGAACGCGAAGAGCGATGGGCGGCGCGAAGAGAAGCCCTGGAAGGCGCGCAACGGGAATTGGAACGGGAATGGGGCGCCCAGTGGAAAGAGTGGGCGGACGCGATACAGGCCCTCGAGTCACGGCAACGCGAGTTGCGAACCCGCCGTCACATCCTGGAGCAAGAGCGACGTGACGAAATGACGCAAGTAAGTGACTCGGACGCGCCGTCCCCGGACTTGAACGTAATCTCGATCAAGTATCAATGTTACCTCGTACTTATTGCTCTCGGTGTACTTATCTGCTTGTCTGGCAACATCATCATCTACTCGCACGTTTGCCCCTTGAACATGTGACCCTCGTGCAGTCAGGAATCGATGTGTTCCCCGTGCTATTCGAACTCGAATTACATCGAGACCTGCACGAACGACGAACAGTTCTCGAACGGGAACGTTCGAGTGGTTTCGTCGTCGTTGATGATAATAACGATGAATCTCGTTCTAGCATAGAGGATAGAGAATTCATGAAAAGACTTAAGGGTGCTTTCAATTACGGCGTCTATTAGGCAGCTCGCCTGAATTGTAACATATGTAACGTGCATAATTGTTAATGAGACAATATTTGTCCGGTATTGTGTATATATATATATGTATATTATATATATATATATTATGTATGTATATGTATATATGTTTATATTTATATATATTTGTGTATATATATATATATATACATATATACATGTATATCGTTTGTAATCTTCGTTTCTACGCGCTGACGATGCCGCCGGTACACCATTTCTCTTTTTCTTTCTCGAACCCGATGCGCCTAAACTTTTGCAAAGACGATAATTAGACGCTTGGAATTTCATTGACGCCTGTTCGTCTAGCGATCCTAGACGAAACGAGACTAATAATAAATATTATACACACGCACTGTGCCAGTGTTGACGAGATATTGCCGGACAAATGGCATTCCGTGGAATGTTATTACCGATTAAGTACCTTAAGTAGTTGTTAAGGTGATATACGTGAAGAGAGAGAG